CATCACTACTCTGTTGCCAACATAGGGTTCTGTACCGTGCCAACGAGTGGCACAGAAAGAAGCTGCTCTACCATCGTCGAGTCTGTGGAGCTTTCCAGGAATAGGTGCGGAATCCGTTTCTGTGTACCGCCACACTGCCTGGTCCTCATCCAGGTCACTCGATGCATTTTCAGTCCACAGATGGCCGCCCTGAAAGCTACTCAGACCTACAATCGTGGAATCAAATGAGCCGTCGTTTGGATCACGGTGCGGCTTGAAAGCTACATCCTCAGCTATAGCAATAGCCATAAAGGGATTCTCAGTGTGCTGCTTCATAAACTTAGTGGCAAGTTTGGTGAGGAAAGGGTGCTGCTTGGTGACACGCGTGATTCCACACAGACCGCCCCTAACATAGGACCCGAAGACCCACAGCTTCGCGACCGATGGTTCTCCTACCACCTTAGAGCTCCTACGAAGGATCAAGGGCTTTAGATCTGCCATCTTCACAGCTGCCAAAACCTCATGATGCTCCACATGATCCCTTTCAAGCAGTTTTTCGGCAAAGGATTCACTGGTTATTACTTCGACAGCCTTGCATCCCTGAATGTGATCCCCTGACTCCTCCTGAAACTCCAACACATCAACCCAGTCAATGACCTGGCTCTCCGGGGGAATCACAGGGATTTCGGGAATGTCAGTGACAACCTTGTGACTGCAAATGCTCTTCTGCTGCATCCGATAATGCTTGCTGAGTGCAATACGCGCAAGTTTGAAATCAGACCATCTCATGTACGGTAGGCCATTGGTGACAACGCAGTCAACATTCACAATCCTAGCGTGTTCGAAAGGATGTGGGTACGAGATTCTAGCGCCCTTCTGGTCCCAATTGAAAGCCCCTCCTATGTCGATGATCTTCCTAACTCCAACGATCCACTCTCCCTTGGCTCCATTCTCTGAGATCATGCACACCTCTCCATGTTTGTTCAAGGTGGCTGCGCACTGCGACCCTGACGCGAGAGTGACCTGAAGCGTTTCTTCACCTAATGAGGATTGCCGCTTAGTCTGTGGACGGAGCACTTCGTTGGCCCCGCTGTCAACGAGAACAAAACCATCACTCTCAACACGATTGCCCGAGACACAACACATGTTTGCAGCACCTTGGCGCCGCCTACGCACCATGCCATGGAATCTTTGTTGGACTTCGGGGTCGTACTCTTCATCACTCACCGGTTCTCCCGCCTGCCAAGATGCATATAAAGAGAACGCAAGTTCCTCAATCTGTTCTTCTTCCAGCCGAACACCCTGGACTCCCGTAGAGGCGTGGACTTCATACAGGACACCTTCATGCTGAAACAGGTCCTCAGCAACCTGCCGTTGAATGCCATTCTCTACCAAATCTCGAGGACTCAGGAAGGCAAGATCATCAGCAAACTCGGCACCTAACAAACCCAGGGTCTCAGCTAGGTGACCAAATCCATGACCATTCAACATTTCCTCTAGTGGAATTCGGTCCCTGACATGCCCGGTGGGAGCCCCGAAGCCGAATCTCATGCATTCATTAAACCATACATCCTCAGGCCATGGCTCTACGTACGGCTGATTTCTTTCCACCGCTACCACAAAACGAAGCTTGGACTGGACATCTACACGCTCAAGCTCGAAGGCAAAGGCCCCCTTGAAGACTCTCGTGACCGGATCCAGAACCAACACATTGTGTACAGCAGTGACGGTCCATTCATCATTCAACACAGCCGGCAGCTCATCTAATTGCCCAGCCCTATGCAGAATCCATGCTCCATGCTCCACACTGCGATAATCATCAATGTGCTCAAACTCCGCATGCGCCCTGGTGACGATGTTGCCTGGATGAGTCCACATTTTCCACTCCAAACCCGTCAAGCGCAAGCTCCACATCCATGGACCTGGCTCGTCGTCACTCTCCTCCTGAAACTCGTCCCCGAATTCACTCGGAGTAAGGTCATCGCTCCTAACACCATCCAGTTCGGAAAGCTCTGAAGAGGAAGAGATACCATCGTCAGAAGGTTGATCGTTCTCACGCAATGCCATGTTTGCACACACTCGATAACATGTAGCAGACTTCGCCTCAGCTCCAACAAGTGCTGCTGCCTTCGCTTTAGCACCTGGCTTTGCCTTGGGGTCCGGTTTGTCTCTTGCTGCTGCTTCCTTTGCTGCGGCCTTGGCTTTGGCTTTTGCCTCCCTTGCTTCAGCTTTCTCTTTGGCCTTCGCTTCAGCCTCCTTGGCCGCTGCCCTTGTCTTTGAATCCTCCTTGCCCTTGCCCTTGCCTTTGGCTTTTGCCCCCTTAGGATCACCATGCCAATACTCGCAATCCTTTCCCTTCAAGCACCCTCGCTCAGTGTTAAAGAATGCACATGGAGTTGACTTGGTATCACCTGTTGGTTTTCCTTTCTTGCCTTTCCCTTTACCCTTAGCAGCTGTGATCTCATACTCTCCAGTTCCAGCATCAGAACCTTTCGGGTGATGTGGCTTAGAGAACTCCTCAGCTGCCAGTCGCCGTGCTTCTGCCTCAATCGCCGTCTGCAGGAGACTCACACCTTCTTCGGTGGGATTCAAGATCTCAGGACGAAGACGAAGCAAATTCAAGCGCGTACTCAGGGTGGGACTCTTCTTTTCTAGAGTTTTCACCATGTGGTTCAAGGAAGAAATGGCTTCATGTGGAGGATGACTCGGCAAACCAAGGACAAGAATCCGGGATGTAGCCAGCTTTAGCCTTCTAAGTGTTGCCAAACACTCAGTGAAAGTATTTGCCTGCGGCAGGTTCCTCAAAAACGACGTCAGGCTTGACTTCTCTTCAATACCACCAGGTTGGTAGCGCTCAAGAATCGCTTCTAGGATCGTTAATGAAGGAACCACTTGACCCGCAGCTGACTCAATCACACCTCGTTTGATATCATCACTCGTCTGCGAAAGCAAAGTCATAGCCAACCTGCTCTCAAACTCCTCGCATCCGCTGGCAACAGGGGGAACATCGGGGTCATGAACCCCGGCATCCATGCGCCGTTGAAAGCGCCCCAACGCTGCATCGATTTGGTGCCTCACGAACTTTCCGAACCCAGCACCGATACACGATGCAACGGACACCATTTCGGTAGCATACTGCGAGAATTGGAGGCCTCGTTCCCATGCCTGACCTCGCGGCTCAAGAATCCTCGGGAACTCCTTCATCAACTTCCACTGGCCCCCTGCAACTCTCAGCTCATGTCCATCTAGATGGAAACCATCCTGGCTCGAGCTACGAAATTCTTTGGGAAGGGGAGGCGGCTGAGTAGGGGCATTGGCACCCCAACCCTCATTCATCCAGGCTGATTCCATGGGAAGGCCCGGCGGTTTTGTCAACCAAGAGCTGATTGGTCTGTCATCGTACGCCTCCCACCAGTCATCTTCACCAGACCTTTCATTGACCTGAAGCGGCGTCCCACTTCCAATGGAAAAAGTCTGCGGTTCCCCAAGGCTTGCTGGCGCCTGGCTTTCCTGCTGGGGTCCTGCGTCCGAGGCAATAGACTGCGGTATTACGTGACTCAAGTGACCCTGGATCTCCTCGTCACGCTCACGAAGTTTCTTGCAAATCTTTTCAACGCCAACCACACGTTCAAGGACAAGCGCCAACTGTGTCGAGGAACCTCGCTTCTCTTCTTGGGTTTTCTCATTGAGCTGTCTCACTTGCTCTTGTAGATCGTGAATGCACAATGAAGTCTTGTCGGATTGTAGCTTATGCTCCTTCAGGAAGATTTTCCTTTCAGCTTCAGGCCATTCACCTCCAGCTACAGCTTGAAACTCCAATGCGGCTATACGATCACGGATCTCATTCACTTGCTTGCTCACAGCGTCTTGAAGAAACACCTGGCCCTCTAGGTCATCAACCCTTTGACTCAAATGTCTCACAGCTGTAGCGAGCTCATTCATCTGACTTGTCAAGGTGCTGCATGCTTCACTCGCCTGGCCATAAGCCTGGCGACTCTGCAACGCTGCGTCGCGCAGCTGCTCTATTCCAGCAACAGTGGTTGTCAGGCCAGTGCCCAGCAGATTTGTGCGACGCTCCATCTCATGACGAATGCCTTCAAGGTTCTGCTGCACTTGATCCATACCAGTCATAGCAATAAGATCCCAATGATTTCCCTCTAACTGTCGCATCATTCGGACCACGTCACCATTTGCAGATCTAATCTCGTTCATTTGACGGACAAGGAACTCTGCACCTGGCGTATTCATGACAACATCCCCAACTTGTGTGCCCTGGCCAGAGACAGAAAGTGAGGAACGCTGATGCTGCTGCTGCTGCGCTTCTGCGGGATTGCTTGGAGCGTTTGGGCTCATACCCTGATGTTGGTCAGGGCTGCTTTCGGTGATTCTGCTGAAGTGTGATGGAGTGGGAGATTGAGGCAGCATCTGGAGAGGAACATCGTTCATCAAAACCCTAGATAAATCATCAGTATCCCCCGCCATCTCTTCCGCCTTGGACCTCAATCATCAACCACCTTCTTAGCCCTGAACCCCTGAACGAACGCACCCTTCACACCCTGGACTGGGTCGCAGGACTAGGGTACCAGGACAGGGGGTGGGACTAGGGTACCGGGAAGAGGAAACCAAACCCCAAAACCCGGAAGAACCCGAAAGAACCCGAAAACCAAGCTGCACTCCGTGCATTTGCTCCGAGACTTGAGCCAACATCGTTGGCATAGTTTATGGTTAAGACCTCAGTGGACGCGCTCAGCGTGTCATCCTTGCGCAGGGGCTGATGCTTCAAGTGAACATGAGTGCCTCTTTACACAAACACCCTAAACCCTCCCCATAGGTCCCCACAAACCCCGAAACACTCGTGCTACATCTCACTCCTCATGTCCGAAACCCTATGTACAGGCCCTAAACTGCTGCATCTTCCTCCCCTAAACCCTAAACCCTAAGCCCTAAACACTAAACCCTAAACCCTAGCCCTAAACCCTAAACCCAGAAGCCCCGCAACCTCAGCCCTGTGAGCAGGGGCCATGTACAAGTTCAAGGAGATCCAGACCATTCCTCCGGCCAAGCAGCTGGTGGATATTGCCGCTTCCCCAAGCAGGATTAGGGTTTAGGGTTTAGGGTTTAGGGTTTAGGGTTTAGGGTTTAGTCCTTCCAGAAGAACCCGAACCCCGGCTTCTGTGAATACCAAACCTTCTAGGGGAGGCGAAAGGCTGTCCTTCAAGAAGTCAGATGCGGGCTCTCAACCCCAAGCCCTAAACCCTAGGCTTAGGTATAGGGTTTCGGTTTTAGGGGTTTAGGGCTTAGGGTTCTGGACCCCAAACCCTCAACCCTAATTCTTCTTTTACGGGATTGGGTGCGTCAGTGTGTTGTGGAGTGGAACATGCCACATGCCGTGCCATCAGCTGCAAGCCGCAGTTGGCTTTCCCGCTTTCAGCATCTCAGAGTTTAGGGTTTAGGGGCTTTGGCTCTCTCTCTTTCTCGCTCTCTCTCTCTCTCTCTCTCTCTTTCGCTCTCTCTCGCTTTCTCTCTCTCTCTCTCTCTCACTCTGGTTCTCGCTCTTTGTCTGTCCCTCCTGCCCTCTGCATTGGCCCGTTCTTTCAGAGCCCAGAGTGGAACCCTCTTCAAGCCGAAGGTCTTGTCGAAGACACAGCGGAAGACGCCAACCGTGGTCCATCCAGGCAAAGAGGTTGAAGGGCTTTTCAGCTTTAGGGCTTGGGGTGCAGGGTTTGGGGTGCAGGGCGTAGGGCTTAGAGCTGAGGACTTCAGAGTTTGCGTGCAAGGTCTAGGGTTTGGGGCTGAGGGACTTCTGATCTCAGTCGAGCTAAAACGAAAGCCCCAAAACCTCTAGACTAAGCCACAGATTGACAAGGAAGCCCCTACATCCTGCACCCGAAAGAGAGAGAGAGAGAGAGGGGGGGGAGGGAGGGAGAGAGAGTGAGAGAGAGAGAGAGAGCGTGTGGAAAGCTTAGAGGATGAGGTCGTGTGCCCCCAGCAATACCGAAACGTTAGAGGGGAGCAGAAAGGCGACTGAGGATTCTATCCGTATCGACAGTCATCGCACAGATTCGTCACACAAATTAGATTTACATGAGCATTGGGATCATCTGGGACAGGAAGCAAAGAGGGTATCCGGGGTGGCTTAGACACCCAAACGCCGACATGGTGTAGTTGACTCTACTTTTCAAGGGTTTTGAGGGGCGAAGGCAGCATGTTGGTGATGATTGTGGCTCCTGCAATCGCCATCGCATAAACTTCTGTCGTATGCGGTCCATCAACAAATGGGTGGCAGCAGCACATATGAAGCACCTGGACAGGCAAAACGGAGGAACAAACTTAAGGCCTAAGGCCCAAAACCCAGGCCTCTAAGGTTGAAGGTTGATAGGGGTTAGGGCTTAGGGTTTTTTCTGGTTTAGAGGGAAGCCGTTGTTCAGGGCTCGGACAGGTACAAACCTTAGCATGCTGAGTTGGCGTTTCCTTTTTTTGAGGGCTTGGGCTTTGCATGGAAATCGGCAACTTGGGCGAAGGACGCTGGTGTTTTCTTGTCCTCCCCTGGAGACATGCGAACCGCATCTGAAAACAGAACTGCTAGAGAAGTCATCATTCAGACAGGGTAAGAGTCGACTTTGTTCATCCCCTTATGACTCTCGCATAAAAACATGTGTAGGCAAATGTTGAAGCTTTACTTAAGCGGGTTCTCACGAACTCCTCATGAACGAGAAGTAAGTGTTTTTGGCTCCGCAAAACCCAGGATGAGTACATGAGCCCCTGCGTATTCAGCTCCACATGTGCCAGGATTCAAGATCACCCGAATCCGCTCCTTCTACATGCGGAAGGCCCTGGAACGTGCCCGCAAGTGTTCTGAAGAAGAGGATGATGCTTGTTGGGGTTTCGTAAATACTATAGGGGTCAGAATAATTACTAACAATATTCCCTTATGGTCCCTTTGTAATTATACTATCCTACCCCCCCAAACCCTATTCCTATTAATCAGGCCCCTTTATTACCAGCACATGTCCATGTCCTCTTTGGGTCCCGCCTCAGCTGCTGCGCTCACATGGAGGTCAAGTTCTGCCAAACCACCTACAACGAGAAGTTCTCCAAGATCATCGAGGAGTTCCCCAAGATCGACGACATCCACCCCTTCTATGCAGACCTTTGCCCGGCACCCAGCGCAGGGCTGGTGCTTCGGAGTGCACACGAGAACATGGAAGCAGACACCCCGCATAGACCACACAACTCTCAAAACCCCTAAAGGCTAAGACCCTAAACCCCTAAACCCCTAAGCCACAGAAACCCCCGAACCCCCCCGGAACACTTGGGGCGTTTGGAACACTTTGTGTCCCTTGGAGCACACTTCTTGTCGCTTGGAGCACTTGGGGCGCACTTGGGCGCACTTGGGCGCACTTGCACTGGGGGACTTGGTCACTTGGGGCACTGGGGTCAATGTCAAGTGTTTGTATTTTAAAAGTTCACCTGGGACAAGGGGGGTGTGCCGGTGTGCCCCTGGCCATCACTTGCTACCACATGGGCTGCTTGAGCACTCATTTTGTGGCGAGGAAAGAACTCCAGCACCTCCTAGTGGCCTCCCAGGCCGGCTTTCCATACCCCGGACACACGTCAGAGTATATACCCCAAAGGACAACGGAGTGGGGTGGCGGGTGTTAGGGCTTAGGGCTTAGGGTCCTTAGGCACTCCAAGGGCCAAGCATAAACCCCCAACTTCTCAAAACCCGGCACACGTGGCAACCCTCAGCAACCTAAGCCCAGGTAATGTCCTCTATGACAGAGACCACTACAAGCTGGCTTTGGGCCAGGCGCGCAGGGGCATGGGGTTTAGGCCCTTCTTGGGTCTTCGCGTAAACGGGTTAAAGGAATTGGGGGCGTCTGGGCTTAGGGGTTTTAGGGGCTGAGCCTTCGTGGTGTCGTGTTTGGGTGGCGGAAGGGCTCAAGATTCACAGCCCCTAAAACCTTGATTCCATGAACGCCTTACCCTAAAACCCTTGGCGCACGGTGCTCAAACCAGCACTGGTAACCTGGACGAATCATCATGCGGGCATGGGCGCTCTGGCCATTCGCACTGGTACACATGGACGTACTCGTGAGCCGGAAAGCGAAGATGTGCACCTGAGCGAGCAAGGGTAGTGTTTTTTCAAGCGCCGCGTGCCTAGACTTTGAGAACCTTGAGCCCTGTAGATTTAGGGTTTAGGGGTTTGGCGAAAGGTGAATGCCTGCAAGAAGATCGTCGACGGCATAGCAAAGGACTACGCCTCTCGGGCGGCATAAGCCGAGTCCCTAAACCCTAAACCCCATACCCTATAAACCTGAATACTAAACTTGGGGGCTTGGGGTTCAAGACATTCGGCCTTTAGGGGTTTGGCTCCCTCCGCCATTTCAATGAGGTGTCTCGCGTCTGTTGATGTTGCCCTAGGTGTGGGTGTTGCGGGCACCCCGATGAACTAGTTGTGGCAACCACGGAATGAGGTTCAGGATTTAGGCGGGGCCACAAGAAGATTCCGGAGTGCAAAGGTTTCTCACACAGAATTCTTCATCATTCACAAGGAGCACATGAGACGTTAATGTATGCGGCTATGGGCGAAGGCGGTCTGGGTCTAGGTCAGATCTGGAATGGTGTTTTGCCTGTATAAACCCCTTGTAGAAGCCTCATGGGGACCTAGCGGGGAACTCCCCTCTAACAATTGTTCTTCAGTTAGGGTCTAGGGTTTAGGGTTTATAAAATTAGGGTTTAGGGTTTAGGGTTTCGGTGGTCTAAGGGCGGGGAGGCCCTTGGGATGCTGCGAGTGTGTGTATGTGTGTGTGTGTGTGTATGTCTGCCTGTTTGTGTGCGTATTCCGTCCGAGGCTAGAGGATCTTATGCAACATGCTCCAGAAGGTTTCGAAGGTTTGACGGGCCAACCTACTTAGAGCTATAAGGGGTTTAGGGGTTAAGTGTTCAAAGGCTGAGGGACCCAGAGCAGGCCATTACTCCCTTTTTCAAGGGTTTATAGGTTCCCTTATAGCAGCCTTTTTTTGCTAGGTGACACCTGGGTCGAGTACCATACAGCCATACTAGTAACCGCCATCATCATGTTGCACAGGCGGCGTCTTACTCGCGTTTCCGCCGCAGCGCATGCCAAAGTAATGTTTCGAAAGCGATTTTTAGTAGTACGACTGCCCCCACAAAGCAGCAACAATATGTGAACTGTTGCTGGCAGACTTGCAGGAGTAAGCTTGAATCCGACGTAGCTTTTGCCGCAAATTGGACGTTGACCCCTTGGCATCCCTTCCTGAAGGCAAGGCTGGGCCATGGCTGTGAATACAGCGTTGGCGGCGAGTGTTTTTGCCGGTGTCGCTGGCTTACTGGCGCACGTGGCTGATATCCTGACTTGCTACAGCGCACGCCCAGAGCTAGAGCAGCTCTTCCGCACACCCGGGGATATCCTCAACTTCCAGAAGGCGTCTGTGATGATGGCTGAGAAGACAGTTTGGGAGCTTGCCGCAGGCCACGCGCTGGCCCTGATCTTCATACCAAGTGGTTTTGCAGGCACGTACTTGCTCTACCAAGTCTTCAGGCCCCAGTATAACTGGCTCCGCTGGCCTTTGGTAGTGCTGCTTTTCGCTTTCTATGTGGCCGGTGCCCTGATGCACTGCTCCTTCACGTTTGTTGGCCTCTTGGCAAGCGCTCCTGCCCGTGGATTCACAGTGCCAGCAGGGCTCTCTGGCAACTTCCGACCGTTTTTTGAGATCATTTGCAGCCTGGTGGGCGAGATCGCTATGCTCCCGGGCTGTATTCTCACGTTCGCGCTGCTAGCAGCAGGCATGACGACGTTGCCACGATGGACTGCCTTCCTCACACCGGGCCCCCTGCAGCTGGCAGTGTCCTTCATTGCCCCACACATGCCGCTGGTCTTCCGCATGTACTTGCTGGTTACCATCTACAACCTTTCCAGTGGCATTTGGCACCTGACCATGGCCACTGCCTACTGGATACACTGTAAATCAGGCGTGTGCAAGAAGGCCTAGGTGAGGGCTACATGGTCAGTTTTCAAAATGATGGCCCCTTTTTGGGCATCCTAAATTATAAATGAGGGGCCGCCTTATACTAAGGACCCCAAAGGGACCATAAGAAAACTCACCCTTTGCGCCTAAATATAGTTGTGATAAGTAAGGTGGGCCCCTTTCCCATGGTTCATCACTCTAACTCACCCTGAGAACCGCCCTCATATCTATATATATATATATATGTATAAAGTGTATATACATAGATTACAGACATAATGTAGCCTAGTTTGACAGAATACATATACATACTTCGGTCTCAAAATGTGCTAGGTGTCACCTTGTCACCACCCTGCATGTTGTATCCCAGTAGACCCATGCACAGCGTTCATGCGCACAAGTCGCCGGCAGATGTTTAGCTGATGCTGTATGCATCACATGCAGACGCCACAGAGCATTTGTTGGAGCTACTGACGGAATGTACAGAAGTGCAGGAAGAGCAAAACACTGTGGGAAGCCAGCTGCAGACAAAGCCTGTTCCATTTCTCGTATAGCTAGAGAACTTGCAGTGTAGTGCCTACTGTCAAAGTTAGCAGTACGCAATGCAACTGTTGACAAATAACATAGGTCGACTCAGAACCTCAATTGTAGCTAGCCGAGTAGGTCCCACGAATCATCAAGTGAGGTGCCTGTTTGAAAGAAACCCGGCTCATAAAGGGAATCTACAGAACCATTGCCCGGCCCTGAACATTAAATCCGAAACCGACTGAACCGACTTTCACGTGATGTCACACGGTCTAGCTGACCCTCACACAACGCTATGCAAAACCCTCTACTTCTTTTGGGTACCCAGAATATGAGGCTACGTATGATAAACAAGAACCTCAAACCGGAACCGCCAAGGAACCTTAAACCCCTACCCTTACAAACCTTACGGTGGAAGCAGGCTTCAGGCAGCCGTTTGATTCCCTTTCGAGGCTTACGGTCCTAGGGCTCGATTCTCAGGCTCAATGAAGCAAGGCCTCAGCTTGAGCGCTGGGGTGTTTTGGGAAGTGTCAGGTATGGATCGCCATGTTACGAACGCAACAAGGCTGTGGTCATAATTCAATATTGCAGGAAGTCATTTGATACTATTTGGTGTGTTTTTTTTGCAAGGCTGAACCAAATCAATGGTGCTTGCACATTAGGAAATTTATTCCATAATGATAAATGTGGTACAACTATCACTAAAAGCCAGCGGAATCATATAATCCATATAATGCTCACTCGTTTTCAAAACAAGCAAATATCCTTTTTGACAATGTTGCGCCAAGGTGAAGATGATGAAGTTCGCGGACAGCCTTTACAAATGCAAGATGCTAAAGAGAGCAGCCAGGGCCCCACAGGCAAAGGCAGACAGATTCAGAGATTTGGGGTCACCCTAAACCCTAAACCCTAAACCCTAAACCCTAAACCCTAAACCCTAAACCCTAAACCCTAAACCCTTTAGGGTTTCGGGTTTCGGGACCAGGCCCTCCCGAGACCAAAACTCGAAGACCTGTGCAGTGAACTCGATGGCGGGGCCCCTGGGAGAACGCAACGCTTCCTGACCGTCTGGGTTTAGGGTTTGGGGTTTAGGGTTTAGGGCTGAGGGTGTAGGGTTTGGGGTTTAGGGTTTGGGGTTTAGGGTTTAGGGTTGAGAGGGTCTACGTACCCGAGATCCACCCTAAATCCTAACCCCTCAACCCTATTCCATATTATGTTTCAGAAAGATGTACGGCCTAACCAAGAGCAGCTTTTGAGTAACTAGCAGATTTGTGAGTGCATGTCCGGTTTTCGAGTTCGGAGGGTTGTTGTTCAGCGCAATACATGAACTTAAGTAGTGACCCATATGATCCCTTATACTTCCATTTGAAGTCTTGAGTCTAAACTACCTTGAACCGATTTGTTTTCGGGGTCGCTTTGTGGATCTTCTTTGGTTGCAAGAACTGGCGAGCTCCAATGACGAAGGTTCTGGGAGGGTTTCGGGTTTAGGGTTTAGGGTTTAGGGTTAGGGCCCAGCCTACCCTGGCTGCCCTGGGTCTTTTTACAAGATGATCTTCGTTCTTCATTCTTGCTTATTTGGACCCTTAACTTGGGGTTGGGGGGCCTAAACACACCCTAAACCCTGAACCCTCAATCCTAAAGGCCTAAACCCCAAAGGCCTAACCCTAAAAACCTATCTCTGGTGGTGCAGCATAAGACCTCAGATGGATGCCACGAAGTGCTGGCAGAGTGAGTCGTTCCACAAAGATCCTGATTCTAAAGGTTGCTGGGGTTCTTAGCCCAGTGGTACCCTTTACCCTTGTTTTTGCTCTGGGTTCCCTTGTAAAGTAGCCAACCAAAAAAGGGTGCCCTTACTACAGTATGGTTTCTGGGCTACCAAGGGCCTAGGGCTTCGGGGTTAGGATTTGCAGTTTGGGGTGGCAACATGAAATCTCCAAGCTCAAGCGGTGAAAGACGAATCATGCAGTTTCATGGGCGGTTTCCTTTAGACATGAGTTCTAGCGTCCAGCACCTTGGTAAGACTAGAGCAACAACACCTCACGAACAGAGTGCGAGGCAAAGTAAGAGAGACCCTAAACCATAAACCCAGAACCCTAAACCCTAAACACCTCATCCAGCAAGGCCCTTGGTCGCATGGCCACATCTGTCAAGAAGCTCACAGGCGGCAACGCCTACATAAGTTTCTCTACGATTAGGCTTCGGACAATAACAAGGCTGTAGAAATTCTATAACCCACAATAACATATCTTATCATGACCTACACTGTGCCTTACATGCAGCCCGTGAGCATAAACCTCACAAGTGGTTTAAGGCTTCGGGTTAGGCTAGAACCCCCAGCTGTCCGAACTCCTAGAGCCCGAGACCCTAAACCCTAAACCCCTGCGCACTGCACTTGTTGAATGAGATATGTCCGCTCCAAAGGATGTGCCATGGGTATGATGAACATCGTCTCGGCAACCTTACTAACATGAGTACCAGGCCCGCTGAAGACATCATTCCCAACACAGAGGCATCTTTGAAGAGTTAGAGTCATCGAGGCCCCGTAGCTGAAAGGCCAGCGGCTATGCTGAGACCCTGCATCCTGAGCCCGAAACTCTCATTGGGGGTTTAAGTTAAGGGGTTAGGGTTTGGGGGTTGAGACCCTAAGCCCAAACCTCAGACCTGTCCTTTGGCAGGCGCGTTGTCGTTCCTCGAAGAGGCATTGGCTGACTGCAGGGCTTGATTCTTTTGACGGGTCTGTATGCTTCTAAGGGTTTAGTGCGTCTGGACCTGAAACATTCTACCCTTCTCAAGTTCTTAAGAATCCCAAACCCCAAACCCCAAACCCTAGAGATACTCCTTGTTGTTTCGTGTGCACCACATGGGGTTCAGAATGTTGATAGTTTTGATCAAGCCCAAGCAGGTTCGGCAACACCTGGGGCGACTGCCGTCGATCAATCCCGCCACGAGGACCCTGATCCTCACAGGCACGTTGCTCACAAGTCCTCGGACATGATGATGAACACGCTTTGGGATTTAGTGTTTAGTGCTTAGGGTTGCTCAGGCTACCCCAACGTCGGCAAGTCCTCCTTCATGAACATTGTCACGAACGCAAACGTGGATGTGCAACCGTGCCCCGGTTCTTTCACTCTGACAGTGAGCATCTTCAGAGACACCTGCTCACCAGGAAGGATGGGAAAAACACAGCATGCAGTCTCCAGAGTAGTGCAGGTACGCCTTCACCACAAAGTCCCTGTTCATAGGGCATTTGGACCACAACTACGTGAAGTGGCAGGCCTGGAGAAAGTTTAACCTTTAAAGATTCCGGGTTTCGAGTGTTTGCTTGGCTGGGCTTTGTGTTCTTCTCTGTGCAGTCCGATCTGGACCTGCAGATTGGGTTCTTCTGGGCTTGGACTCGGGTTGGGGGTGTGGTCTGAAGGTTCGAACGTGGGTTCTTCTCCCTGGCCTTTGTGGCAGGCTGGGGTGACTCAAGGGCAGCAGCTTGTTTCAACAGACCTTTGGACATGATACTCGAAAGCGACCTCCTGGCAACAGGTGCGAACGCAAAACCCTCAAAGAACATTTCCTTCGAGGCCAAGGGGTGTGAGAAGAGCTCGAGAAATAGACACAGTTGAAGGTGGAATGCTTTCAGGCTGCCTATGATGCATTACACTCACAGCTTCACCCCAGGCCCCAGGATCCTTTCGAAGGAAAGGTCCTAGCCGCAAGCGGCAAGAGGCTTCTGGGTTTGGGGCTTTGGGGTTTTTGGCCCAAGGCCTTCTTTAGCTCCTTGCATCCTCTGTCGCGTGGGCCAGGTCATCGATACACCTGGGATCCTGGACCATCCACTGGAGGCAGTTTTGACTGGTTCGGGAAGCTAGGGGTAAGACAAGGCTCCCTAAGCCCTAAACCTAAACCCTCGATGTAGTTGTTTATGGTATTTGGGGTGTACGGTGTTGAAGCTTTCCCCTAAGAACAGGCCCGCCAGCATCTAACGTCCTGGGCCCAAACCTCTGAACTCGTACCACCCTACAGCCCAAGCCCTTACGGGGTAAGCGGAAGAACCCCCTAAAGCCTAAACCCTAAGAACCCTAAACCCTCGCACCAGCGCAGGACCGGAACAGCATTGAGATGACGGCGATCACGGCCCTGGCACATCTGCCGGCAGCCCTGGCCTCGACTGGTGCTGGTGCACAGTTGACAGCTGGGTTGAGGGTGTTTTTGGGATTTCAGGGTTTAAGGTTAAGTGTTTTAAGGTTTTTTATTGGGTTTAGGGTTTTTTAGGTTAAGGGTGGAGGGTTTTTGGGGTTCTGAGGGTTCGAAGGCTTCAGGAGCGTTGAAAGAGGCTGGTTGGGTGGAAAAGTCGTTTCACATTCAAGATTAGGCCAAGGAAGAACCGCAAGAACTGTGAAGTCCCCAGCCTCGACCCGGGAGGGAGGGAGGGAGAGAGAGACAGAGAGAGACAGAGAGAGACAGAGAGAGACAGAGAGAGACAGAGAGAGACAGAGCGGCAGAGACAGATTGAAAGAGATAGAGAGCGAAAACAGAGAGCAAACAGAGAGAGGCGCCAAGAAGTCCCTCGAACCGGTACCATGACCCCTTATAGGACTTATGGGCACAATGAGAAGGACCCTGCACCCTAAACCTTAACATTAAACCCTGAACCCTAAACCTGGCTGTTGAGGGCCGCGGGTGTTTAGGGTTTAGGGTTTGCAGGAAATTTATGAGGTCTAGACTTGAGCCCTAACGCCGAAAAAAACCCTGAACCCCAAACCTCAACCCTAAACCCTAAAACCTGAAACCCTAAACCCAACAAAGATTTGGAATTTCAACCCCTAAAGCCCGGCTTCCGTGGACCGAGGCGATCCTTTTCTTCGTGGACGTCTCAGAGCACTGCGGGTTCAACCTCGCGACGCAGGCGCAGGATTCAAGGAACTTGAAGTTTTACGTTCTAGGGTTCCTGGGGGTTTAGGTTTTAGTGTTTAGGGCTTGTGGGGTTTAGGTTTTATGGGTTTACGCTAGAGGGTTCACGCTGTAGGTTTTAGGGTTGTTCGGGGTTTAGGGTTTGGAGTTGTTAGGGATCTGGGTTTCGAATTTAGGGCAGGGTTTCCGGGGTTTTGGGTTTTAGGGTTTTGATTTCGGGTTTTTGGGGTTTGGGATTCAGGGTTTCAACGGTTTAGGCTATAGGGTGCAGGCTATAGGGTTCAGGCTAAACCCTAAACCACCCGGAAAACCCGAAGCCTTCCTACTTGGACCCGATGACCCCCACCCAAAGGCCTAAGCCCTAAGTTTATGGTTCAGGGTTTGGGGCCAAAGTTTGGGGTTTAGGGCCATAGAACACCGAAAACTCCTAAAGCAAACTCCTCAAGCCCTCCCTAGTAGTGGAGTAGGTAACCTGTAACCTTTTTGGGGCAGTATAATCCCCTTATAATCCCAAAGGCAACCTTTAATTCAGCCAGGTTACTGTTTAGCCTCAAGAGCGAGCATAAAGGCCTTAAACCCCAACAACCACGAAAGAGCCCTTGGTGAAGCGCTAGAGCCCCTAAACGCAAGCACCTGGCACCCGGGCCTCAGCTTCGTTTAGGGTTTAGGGTTTAGGGTTTAGGGCTTACGGTTTAGGGTTTAGGGTTTCGTATTCTCTAAGCCGTTGCAGCCTTTTCACCCTACAAGGACCCCCCCAGTCCCGTACCCCCCCTTCTGGGTTTTGATGTCATTCGGCCAAGAGGATACCAGGACCCTCCACAAAGTTTGGGCTGTAAGGTTCCCAGAAACCCTAAACCCTAAACCCTAAACCCTAAACCCTAAACCCTAAACCCTAAACCCTAAACCCTAAACCCTAAACCCTAAACCCCAACCAGCTTCCAGGTTGCCCTGTTTCATTCGATCAAGCCGCTCTTCCGAAATCGGCCCTTGCTCATCATCCTGAACAAGCCTGAAGCTCAGGGTTTAGGGGTTTAGGGTTTAGGGTTTAGGGTTTAGGGTTTAGGGTTTAGGGTTTAGGGTTACTCTACGGCTTTAGGGGTTTAGGGGTACCTAAACCGCAATCCTTAAACCCCTAAGCCTAAATCTGGGGATGGAGGGTCAGGGCTGCAGGGCTTCGGATCTAAGGCTTCAGGGTTCGGAAGTCTCGCATCACGCAGTCTGCGAATCCCTACAAGCAAGGGCTTTAGGGTTTGGGGTTTCGGATGTCGGGTTTAGGACTTAGGGTTCGACTTTTCGAAGCTCCGATAAAACGTAGAAGCGAAACCCCAAGCCCTGAAAGAAAGGGGGTTTGCGGCTTAGGGCTGTGACCCGAGATCTGGGACTCTAGCGAGCACTGAACCAGCGAAACCCCAACGCCCTAACCATTTCTTGACACGCACTCTATGACTACACCTGTGACTCTGGCCCACTTTAGGTGTGCCCCAAATATATTGCGGAAAAGCACCGGATTCAGCGAGTTATCTCTAAACCCTAAACCTTGAACCTTAAACCTCGGAGAAGAAGACACTCCCAGGACGGATTTGCGAAAGATCTCAGAGCTCTCTGCGGAGGCTCTGTGGAGTTCGTTTTAGGGCTTAGGGTTGGTTCAGGATTTAGGGTAGGGCTTAGGGTGGTTCAGGTTGAAGGATTCAGGATTTAGTCTTAAGGTGGCTCAAGAGGCTTAATGGGTTCAGATGTCAGGGTTCAGCATGGAGGGCTTCGGGCTTAGGGGGTTGACGGGTCGGGGTTGAGACTTAAGACCCTGAACCCTCAACCCCTAAACCCAAAGCCCTAAAACCCTAAACCCCTAAACCCTCAACCCTAAACCCCTAAACCCCTACCCGCTAAACCCTAAACCCCAAACCCTCACAAAGTTCGGTGTTTGGAGCTGCTTCGGCTGCCAGGAGAAGCAGCTGCTGGACTCCATGGCGGAGGCTGCCACCTTCGCATCACATCTCGGGCCGATGATGGGGTTTAGGGTCTAGGGTTTAGGGCTAGGGTGTAGGGCTTAGTGTGTAGCATCGGCCAGCTGGACGCAGCAGTGTGAAGACATGCCCAAGGCCACACATTCACACCTCACAGCGAGCCAAACCAGAGCCAGCCAAGCCAACGCCAACGCCATTCTAAATTCACATGTCAAACATGCTTAGGGGATACTTGAATTCAAACACTTGAATGCTTGGGACATTTTGGGACACTTGGGGCGATTGGCTTCTGGGTGACTTGGGACACCTGGGTGACTTGGGACACCGAGGACACTGGGAAGCACTTGGCTTTGCCACGTTCAGCAAACTGTCGGGTGAACTTCCTCCAGGACCCATAGTGCCATAGGGGCCCCTGCAGGACTGCCGGGCTTCCAAAGGCCCAAGTCACCTTGCTTCGGCCGACCCCATGAGCTTTCCCCTTCCCGTGCCTTGAAGAAATATACCCAGCCTCTCATAGCATTCCGGGGGCCTCCCAGGACGAAAACCTTCGGTTTTTAGGCTGCCCTGGGCTACCCAATAGAGACGAAAGTCGGCGAGAGGCCCCAAACCCCCGAAACCCTAAACCGTATGGAGCCTGGCTGTCCTTGGCAGCCCCGCTTCTTGCGGCCAGGTGGAAGCGGGAGGAGAGGCAGGCTCTGGTGAGTGTTCATGCTGGAGGAATACGCTGAAGAAAAGCTAGGGTTTAGGGTTTAGGGTTTAGGGTTTAGAGTCTGGGGTTTAGGATTTAGATTTGGGGGGACAGCCTTGACTGCCAGCAGTTCCTTGCATCTCGCCCATGAAAAGTCGGATGCCTGTACTCTACTGAGTTTTAGGGTTTACGGCTTAGGGTTTAGAGCCCTGAGCCCGCAGCCCTGCAACCGCAAACAAGTGACTAAACCCTAAACCCGGAAACTCCCTAAACCCCGAAAGCCCTCCACCAAGCCTTCCGACCTTGAAAGGCCAAGCACCCTCAGACCCAAAAACTCCAAGCCCAAAACCCCTAAAGGACTTAACATCCCAGGACCCCAACGTTCTAAACCCCAAACCTTAAAAGTCCGAAAAACCCGAAGGATAGAAAAAAAAAGAAAACAGTCAAGCAAGCAGTGCACAGGTCCACTTCTTCGAGACGTCCTGTGCCACCAAGACCGGCGTCGACTCGGCTTTGCAGAAGGCGGCCACTGCATACAGTTTAGGGCTTCGGGTTTCGGGCCAAGGGGGGGTTCAAGAGTTTAGGAGGGCTTGAAGGCTACTTCTGGGTTGCCGAAAAGATGTCGTTGACCCGACCCTGCTTGGAAAAACATGTGTCGTAAGCGTGCTGTCAGGGCTCTGCCTTTTGACAGAGATGTGTTTACATTTGAATGAGTTGAGGTGTGATATTACGACACTGGAAACAGTGAGCCGCGCTTTGATCGCCCTTGCTCCCCAAGACCAATAAAAGTCCCAAATGCCCCAAAACCTAAACCCCCGAACCAACCCCCGAACCCCCTAAACCCCCTTAAACCCGAAATAGTTCAGTAGACCCCGAGCCAGCGAGCACGCGCCCGCAACTCCCCAAACAGCCAAGAGGTTCAGGTTTAGGGCTCACGCTTTGCTGCCCTGAGCCCTTTACCCTAAAGCCAAAAGAACCCTAAGAATCCTGCAACCCCAAAGATCCCCAAGTCCAAGGGCTGCGAACTTCTTTTGGAGCGACGGGTGGAGCAGAAGGCTCGGGGATTCCACGCCCTCAACCCGAAACCCTAAACCCGAAGGATGTTTCGAGGCTTCTCATGGCGCTCGGGAGATTGTGGTCCCTGGGACTTCGGATCGTGTGTGTGCGGGGTCTAGTGTAGGGTTTAGGGCTCAGGGTTTGGGGCGCGGGGTTTAGGGATTCAGGGTGTTCAGGGTTCTGCCCGGAGTTTGATTAGGGTTTAGGGTTTAGGGTTTAGGGTTTAGGGTTTAGGGTTTAGGGTTTGGGGTTTAGGGTTTAGGGTTTAGGGTTTAGGGTTTGGGCTTCAGGGCGTTGCAAGCTCCAGGCGTGAGCATCCAGACGATTTCTGCAGTCAATGCCTTCTAACCCTCACAGGCATACCTGAAGCCGGCTCTGTTTCCCTAAACCCTAAACCCTAAACCCTAAACCCTAAACTTTCCTCCAAACCTCAACGTGTCTCAGTAGTCTTTGGTACGAAATTCCGGAGGCACCTGAAATTTTTACAGGGTTTATGGTTTCGGGTTTTGGCATGAGGGGGCGGGGCCAGAGACCCTACTAAGAACTTGTGATTTCAAGGTGCGTACCGGCAAAGCGGACGGCCTGAGGCACCGGTCTGAGCTTCGGGCTTAGGGCTTAGGGTTTAAGAAAAGATTAGGGTTTAGGGTTTCGGGTTTAGGGTTTAGGGTGTGCGGATGTGCTGTGTGAGGCCCCGTGGTACCCTTTTTGCCCTTTTTTTGGTTCTGGGTTCCTTTTTTGAGTAACCAACCCCCAAACAGGATGGTTTTGAGCAAGGTTGTAGGGTGTTAAGTACCTTCAGCGACGTACGTTGGTGGGCATGCTGTCGTTGCATGTGAGAGATAGATGCGATGTGCTGTTTGGCCCGAAAAACTACAAACCAATGGAGACCTAACCATGCCATACGCAGACATCCAAGCAGTCTCCTCGGCATGCTGATTACCTGGCCCGGACAATGCGGAAGAAGTGCTAAGCTCGTTTCTCACACTGCTCGGTTAAGGGGCCTCCAGGATTCTGCACCCTGCCCAAAATCCTAAACTCCTCGGCTGTTCAGGGTTTGCGTGCAGCAGGAACCGCCTTCACATCACGACCGTCACACCTCCAGCAAGCCGGCCGCCCCTGCCTCAATTGGAGGGCAGATGATGCCTGCGGCAACTTGCTGTTTATGGGTTTAGGGTAGGGATGTTCCCCCTTCTACTAACAGTCCTTAATAGGGATTCTGCGGCTGTTGGCTTAGGTTTTGCCCTAAACCCTAAACCCGAAACCCGAAACCCGAAACCCGAAACCCTAAACCCTAAACCCTAAACCCTAAACCCTAAACCCTAAACCCTAAACCCTAAACCCTAAACCCTAAACCCTAAACCCTAAACCCTAAACCCTAAACCCTAAACCCTAAACCCTAAACCTAACCCTAAACCCTAAACCCTAAACCCTAAACCCTAAACCCTAAACCCTAAACCCTAAACCCTAAACCCTAAACCCTAAACCCTAAACCCTAAACCCTAAACCCTAAACCCTAAACCCTAAACCCTAAACCCTAAACCCTAACCCTAAACCCTAAACCCTCGTTTTCGGGTTGTAGGAATTAAGATTGCTTTGGCGCAGAACCTGCAGCCGTGGGGTCTTGCAGCCTGCACGAAGCCCTGCGGCAGCCCCGAACCTCCTGGACTCCCTTCGGGGCTTTATAGGGTTTTGGGGTTTCTGTAGGGTTTCTGTAGGGTTTCAAAATATGTGTTTTAGAGGCTTAGGGTCTAAATTTCTGTAGGGTTTAGGAAGATTATAGAAACTAGGGCTTGGCTAGAAACAACGTTGTGACCGCAACGCTTTAACCGAATGCCTTGACGGTTGTTTTTGCTTTAGAACATATTCTAACATTGTTTGAAGAACCCTGCCATATGAGCGCATCCTTCAGCAAGCACCAGTCAAGACTGGAGTCTCCGATGTTCCAGCATCTTGGAGCGTCCAACGGTTTCTCCGTCAGCTGATCAGAGCAATGATGGCAGGCCAAAGTGACTGAGCAATGGCAAGACTTTTTGGGCTGGACTTTGCGCGGACATATTTGTCAAAAATGCTTTCGCAGATATGCTTCGAGATTGTTGCTGTCGCAGAGAGGCGTTTGCAGCATGGGCTGCGAGGTGACGGGCCATGACCGACTCGGCCCTTTTCAATGCTCAGTGTCCAAACCCCCCCAGACCCCCCAAAAAAAAACTTAAGTCCTACAGAAACCTTGAACTCCAGGGTTTCGGATTGAACCGCCTAGACTAATCCCTAAGCCGGAAGCTCGAAAATTTCGAGAGAAGCCCTAAGCCCTCAACCCCCAAGAATCCTCAAACCCAAAGTCAAACTGAGGCCCTGTATTCCGGTTTCCGTCCAGCAGACACGGAGTGGCACCGCGTCGGGCACTCAGCAGGGTTTGGGGTGCTTTTGGGCTTTTTGTAGCGTCTGGGGCGGTTTATAGGGTTTAGGTGGTTTGTCCCCACCCACTCATCTGGTTCGATCGCTATTCTTCTCGCCCTTTCCCGGTGCCTGCAAATCTCCCTGGAGCGCCCATTCCACACAAAATGCCACAATGCGGCAAAGAGTTCTGCCGGGTATCCCTGGAGTGCCCCCACAGAAGGTCCTGCCCAATGTGCTCCCGCAGCTCCCGCATCCGAAGCTCTGCGCCGAAGTAATTCCTGAAGTTTCATGGGTAGATTTGGGTAAAAACCTTGGGTTTTGTCGGCTACAAGCAGCCCAAGAAAGTGAAAAACCAGCTCACTCACGGCTCGTGCGCCTGAGTAAGAGAAAGTGGACAGTTGAAGCTGTCCTCTCGTCTCTCCTATATGGGTTTCGGTGTTTAGGGATTTATAGGATTTATGGTTTGGGGTTTATGGGTTTAGGGTTTGGGGTTTAGGATGGCGAGCCCATGTCCCAGGAGTGGCTGGCTGGGTTTGCGGACTAGTGAGGATCGTTTGGACAAAGGGGAGTTTGTTCCGGCACCCCTGCACTGAGACAGTCTGTAAGGGTTTAGGGTTTAGGGTGTAGACTTGCGCTTGTCAGGTTTGCTTCTTGCAGGCACATATTGCATATTGCGAGGGTCCAAGGCAAGAATACAAACCTTTAAACCCCAAACCAACGAAGGATCCGGAAATGGCGATCGTGGAAGGTGGTTGAATTGAGGGTTTGAGGCTTTAGGACTTGGAGGGTCTAGGGTTTAGGGTTTAGGGTTTCGACGCGCGCCACAGACAGGTTAAAGATGACTACGAAAGACCGAGGAGCCTAAGCAAGTGTTGTTCAAAATACGGGCCCTGCCGTTCCGTGTTCAACTGTGCGATAGCAGGCGTGTGGATTCCCTGTTTTCGTTTTACATGTGGGCCCCTGACTCAAAGCCCCCCAAAGAATGCGGCAAAGTGTGGAAACCGCCCCCGCTCAAGCCTTAAACCCTAGACCCTAACAGAGGCTTACCAGGGTTTGCTTAGCCCCAGACAGGAACCTTGTGCACTATCAGGTAGTTTTTCCAGTAGAGTTCATTAAGCTCATCCCAGCCCTTCGAGCGTAAGAGCTCCCGCCATTGACTTTCCCAGGGCACCGGCTGAAGCACAGGCCAGCGTTGTAGCTTCCGTTTAGGGTTTGACATAGCATGGGCTGCACGACCCTAAGCCCAAAACCCCAAGCGTAGGTAAGCCAAGACCATGCAGTTGAAAGCCCCCATTCTAAGCTGAAAGCTTTCCGTTTGTGCTCGACACCTTCAAGCCTTTAGAGTCCAGAATTCCTGGATGCACACGCCCAACGGAGGCCTCCCCTGCCCCTTCCCCCAAGGTCACCCTGCACTCCAAATCTGCTTAATTGCGCGAATTTGCGAAACCCAGGTTTTGCATGGAAAGTTTTTTCAGGGTCTAAGGTGTAGGGTTTAGGGTTTGTTAAACGATGTCCTGGCCTCTGGCAGGCTGGGGAGCAGCTTGAGAGGGAGCGGATGGAGGCGCGACTCCCAGTCTCTTCTCCCTGGTTCTTAGTAAGGAATGAGGGAATTCGGGCCCTGTACCCTTTAAGGGATTACATAGGTACCTCATTCCCTACTAAGGACCAGCCAGTCTTGAGCAAAGTTTCCGAAAACAGGGGTACCCTTTTTGGGGAGTCCCTTTAACGGGATTCTATCCTATTTTGGGGTATAAAAGGGGTACCCCTATTGTGGGGGGTGGATCTAAGGGTCCTTCTGGGAAATTCTTTAGGTTTCCTATGTAGGGGAAGATAGGGTGATTTTGGGAACAGGTATGTTGATCAACTACCACAAGGGGTTATGTGGTGTGGGCGTTTAGCTCTTTGGCGGTTCTGTGAGGCGTAGGAGAGAAGGGGGATCCTTGCACGGTCGAGCCCTGCAAAGCTCGCATCCAGGGTTTTGGGGTGCAGGGACGAAGTTCTCCCCCACCAGCTCCCTAAGACACTTAAACCCCGAACCTGTAGAGCTCCTAAACCCTAGACCCTAAACTCCCAGACCCTAAACCCTCGACACCCCTTTCAAAAGGAGCCCGAACAAGCGGCGGCCTAGGAGCTGGGTGGCGCAGGCGTCTACTCCGTGGACCTCTGGAAGAAGACCATCCTCGAGGCAGGTGGTTTAGGGTTGAGGGTTGAGGGTTGAGGCGTAGGGGGCTAGGGGGCTTCAAGCACTTAGGGGCTTGGTTAGTTTTCGGGCTCAGGGCTGAAGGAGTGATTCTTTGAGTTTAAACAGTGATCTGTCCAAGTCCTCGGCACCAAGACTACCTTTTCAGTTCTCCGCCGCTGGGAGATTTGAAGGGATCAGATTTCGGGCGCCAGGCTTCGGGTATCTGGGCTTCTGGTGGTTCCTACGTCATGCGGCGTCAAGATGGGGTACTACAGGGGTCGGAATAATTACGAATAGAACTCCCATATGGCCCCGATAGAATTCAGCTGCAATAACGCCCCCAACTTATTCAGGCCCCTGCCCTAAACCCTTAACCCCTACACCCTAAACCTTAAACCCTAGATTCGATGCGTGCATGTGGAGGATCCCAGCTGGAAGTACGACATGGTGCCTGAGATCATGGATGGTCACAACATTGTTGACTTCGTGGATCCGGCCCCGCTGGCGTGCTGTTTACTGGTGCCATAAAATGGTTATTTCCGAAAATACGGGTACGCCTTTTGCAGGAACCCCCAAAAGGGTACCGATACTTTCGGAAACCCCCTCATAGCTAGACATGAAACAAGGTTTGCAGTCTTGCTGCAGATGTACTCTTGCCATCGGCTTCACAACTGTAGGGAAACCTGTGATACATGGCTCTGCTGCAACAGAGTGGGCTTCTGTAATGACCCTTCTTGGAAGATGTAAAGACAGGCTGAGTGATGCATACGAGGGGTGATTCGTCCCTTACCTCCTTTACAGGGTTCTGAAGTATGGGCGCTTGGGTCGTCTAGGGTAGATAAGGGGTATAAAAGGGGTCCCCCTTTTAACGTGCCCACCCAGACTAAGGGACCATGAAACTACCCTCAGTGTTAGTGCCAGGATATCGACCGGAAGCTCCAGGAACTCGAGCGGGAAGAGGACATCCTTGATGGCCTTAACGTCCACCCAAAAGACCCGAAGCCATAATATAGGGGAGTTACCAATAGTATTCCCTTACGGTCCCTTTTAGAATCATGCTGTACTAACCCCCCCAAAACCCCTTTTTTTCCTAAAGCCCCTACATTGCACGACTTCTTGCCAGGGTCCACGGCTCCCTCTCCACCCCAACACCCAGTCACCGGAAAGGCCCTCCTCATGGCTGAGTCGAGCCTGGTCAACGATGACCAGGCATGCGGGTTTTTGGGGTTGAGGCCGCAACCCCAACCCTGAGCCCCAATCCCTAATCCCTACCCTAAACCCTAAACCCTAAACCCTAAACCCTAAACCCTAAACCCTAAACCCTAAACCCTAAACCCTAAACCCTAAACCCTAAACCCTACCCCTACCCGAGTGGCTTGAAGTCAGGCTCAACCTTTTTTGGGGTATGATGGTGTAGGGGGGGGGCGTAGCTTGCTTAGTTGGGGAGGGTTGGGGTTTAGGGTTTGGGAAGTTGGGGGCGTGAGGGCTAAGCACCCATCTGCACAGGTCATCGGCGAGTACCAGAAAGTCCAAACTGTTCTGGACGAAGTCCACAGCAGGACGGCTCGTACGTTCGGGCTTCGGAGTCACCTCAGAGCTTCGTTGCCTAAACCAAACAACCAGGAACCAAACTCAGAAGTTGCAGAAGCTGCACCATCTCCTCGCAGAGTTACCTGCTTGCTCTTTCAGAAAGGGCTTGGGCAGTTCAGTAGTTGGACCAAGATCACCGGAGACGGAAAGGTTGCGTTCCATAAGTTGTGGCCATGACTGCTTGAGATTTCGGATTCAGGGTGTAGAGCTTTTAGGATGCAGAGCTCTAGAGAAGTCAGGATGCGACAGAAGCGGCTCGAGAGGAAGCTGAACAAGTCCAAGCAGCTTGCCTGAGATGAACCTGAAAGACGAAGAAACCCTAAAACCCTCCCTAAACCCCTAAACCCTAAACCCTAACCCCTAAAAGATCTGTGAGGGACCAACACTACCAGGGTTTAGCAGGGGCAAGTTGTTTCGGCTCCCTCCTGAGGAATGGGCTGCCGACTATGAGGAAGGGCCGCAAGAGTGCTGAGGAGGCCCACCGCTGCTCTCCAGCCCTTACAGGTTTTGGGTCAAGGGTTTAGCTGTAACTAACAGGGCAGTTGCGGAGCCTTCTCAGGGTTTAGGGTTTAGGGCTCAGGGCTTCGGGTCCGTGCTGAGCTTCCGAAACTTGCCCGCTGTGGATGGCCGCCTCGGTGCAGGTGGAAGAGAAGCTCACAGACCTCGGCTTAGATGCCTCCAAGGCCACTGCCACAGCCTGGGTGATGCTTAGGAGAAGATGAAGACATAATGTTGGCTCAACCGCTGCTGGGGTACCGGTTCGGACTCATAAGCCTAGTACTTGGTAGACTAAACCCTACAGAAACCATAACATTTTCCTCTTGAGCTGGGTTTCAGGCTCCAGCTTGATCCTCCAGATTCCTCTTCCGCTCTTGCCTCTGAAAGCTCTCTGAAGCTCCATGCATGCGCAGGTGCGTGGGCGTTCTGCCTCACGAACACGTGCGGCATCCTTGTTGCGCCCGGTAGCTTAAGGAACAGCTGTAAGAGGTGAGTCGTGCTGTTTGCTTGTTTGCTTGTGGTTAACCTTCTTCATGCCTCGTAGTCGACCAGTTCATTGAACCCAGCCCCGACATCATGTCACGGAATAAGGCAAGCGAAAGCGAACAGCTTCAGCTGGTGGTGACGAGGAGGCGGCAAGTCACACATGTGAGCTCCCTGTCATGCCATCTCATCTGTACGACCTGCCACAGCTCGACGAACCAGGCATGTGGACAGGCGATTGAAAGAGCACACTGCTGCAGCTTGCGTGTCTCTTCCCAAGACTTTGAGAACCTTGTAAGGGAGACTGGTGCAGTCGCCGCGTGCCATCTGCATGTTCTCAAGATCTTAGGATCACAAACTTGAGGGATGCTTTTCACTTCCCTGAACCCTGAACTTTCAATCCCAAACCCTAAACCCTAAACCTTCCATCCTAAACCCTAAACCCGAGCGTCGCCGATTGACAGGGCGAACGCACGGCTTCAGCTCGTGCGCGCAGCAGGCAGGGGCAATGCCTTGCGAAAGAAACACCCTTAGGGACCCAACTTGGGTGTGGGGTTTAGGGTTTAGGGTTCAGGGAGAGCTTTTCGGGTCTTGTCCGGCATTTGCCGAGATCCTGTTTAGGATCTCATGCGCAGTGACCCCAGGTCGTGGTTGCTGGGAGTCCTCCCCAACCCGGAAGATTCGTGTCAGGAGCAGACTGGGCCTGCCCAATGAGGAGACCGCCCAGGCAGTTGAGGGCTGTCGGGATTTTGGGCTTTCGGATTTGAGGTTAGGGGGCTTGAGGTTTAGGATTTGCAGGTATGGGGGTTTTGGGTGGGCTTGATGTTTCGGCATGTTCGGTACCCTCTGCAAGGATCTTCGGTGCCAGTTGCACAAAGGCATCCGATTGTTCTCTCAAAGGGGAACCTCATGTACCCGACACACTCAACGTCATCCTGCAGCTTGCAACTGCAGTTTCGGGTCAGGGTTAAGGGTTATTTTATGTCTAAGGGTTTTGGGTTCAAGGTTCATTCCCTACGCCTGCATCCGTAAGATACAACCCAAGCCCTCGACCCTAACGGAACTCAAATAGCAAGCGCTATGGCCGGCAAAACCCCTAACAATGAAAACCTGTGTGGGGGCTTTCCCAAATATCGCGGTACCCCTAAACCTAAACCGGTACCCCTCACATGCACCACAAAATGCGCTACTCCTTATTCTTGAGAACCCCCCGAAGAGCTACCCTCGGGTTCCCTATGACTGAACCTTAAACACTATGCCCTAAACCCTAAGCCCTGCTACGTTGGGAACTTCCCTGCCTCCAGGTTGTGGAGAAGAGGCGGCGCAAGACCATGAGACAGTTCAACAAGAAGGGCAATAAGGGCGAGGCGCGGACCAGGAAAGAGCGGTTTCATGTTTGAAGGGCTTAGAGGTTCAGAGGTTTAGAGGTTTAGAGGTTTAGAGGTTTTAAGGCTTGACTGTGTAGACAGTGTAGAGGCTTAGCGTTTAGGTTAGGCTGCGACGCAAAGCGCTTATGGCGGCTTAAGATTTTTGGGTTTGGTTTCTGGGGAAGGGAGGTTAACAATGGCCCTGCTGCATCCACCTCTTAGCGGAGACGAGCCTGAAAACCGGAAACCTAGTGTGCTGCACCGAGGCGGACAGGTGGGTCCCTGATCTGAAGCCGAAGCATTTGTATTCCGGCCGCTTTGCTGCCACTGGAGTGAGGGTCTTTCTTTGCACATAGGGCTTCATCTGAGTCTTCTCTATGGGTTTTAGAGGAATGTCCCGTTTTTGGTTGAAAGGACCCAAAAACATCCTTACCGAAGAACAACTTGTCATGATGAAGCTCGCCTTAAGCGACGAGGGCCGCACCAGGCTTCATGACCATGGTGCCTCTACTTGTCCTTGCGTACCCGTTTCCATGGTTTATGGGATCCGGTTTCCTCATAAACCCTGTCCCCAAACCCGAGAACCCTGACCCTAGACTAAACCTCGGCTTAAACCTGAAGCCCAAAACCCTGGACCTGCCGGGAGGGTTGGGGAGTTCCTTCTCATTCCCTGGCAGCGGGGAACCTGGTGTCTGTACTCTAAGGAAAGCGCGGCATCGGAAAGACCGATCGGCGCTGAGCCATCAAGGTGCCACCAGGGCATGAGAACATTTAGGGTTGAGGGTTTAGGGTTTCTGCGAAAACCGCATGTGCGATACACATGTCCAAATTCGAGGCCGGTGCTGAGGTATTGTTGTGTTTGCTGCTGTGGGCCTGAAGGATTCGGAGGATGAGCCCCACCACAGCCCTGCCTAAAGCCTAGAATTTTGACATATATACATACTCTATACAATCTGAGGCCAGTCCTGGAATCGAGCAACCCGACAAGTACCCTAAACCCGAAGCTCTCGTGGCAGGTTTGGGCCAGGGATAAGCCGCTCCCGTGCATGGGGCGCGCCCGCGTCCGGAAAAGCTCAACTCGACAAGGGGGGAAGTTTGGGCTTTTGGCGTTGGCTTGGGCTCTGAGAATGGATTTCGGGAATTGGCCTGCATCCCTTGAAAGGTAAGACAGGTAGGTGTGTGGCTTTTCGAATATTTACACACCCAAAATTTTCAGGAAACGCAGGGAACGGATGCAACCTTATTATGTTGCTTCGCTGCTTCCCAATTGGCACGGTGACTGCGGTTACGGCCGCGTTTTAATGACCCTACTTCGCGTCTTGCCAGTTGCGTAGGGTTGCAGAAGCCTGTCCGACTATTGCATAACGTTGCAGTAGTCGGCGCGTTTTGACAGTTGCGCAGGGTTGCAGCTGCGGATTCGAACATTTGCTGACAGTGGAGGGCGAGCTCATGCCTACCTTTCAAGCTGCGCTGTGGCCACGGCCGCCGAGCCTGATGCTTCCTAGCGATGATTCTGACTTGCTGCGAGGTTGCCCACCCCCCGTGCTTATGGGTACATTTGCGTGTCCGGTATGGCGACGTAAAAGCCGAACAGCTCGCCTTGCAGCATTTGCAAGAATGCTTGGCGAGGAGTGGGAAAACTACCACCGATTATGGGATACCACTACGCCGAGCTTTTAATGAGTTTACCCCGGATTCCTATGAGCCCCGCGGAGCTTATGTTGCCGGTGAAGATTGTTCGGCGACATTTTCCCGTCTGCCTGTAAGGCTCAAGGACAATCGCTGTTACGTCCACTTCTCAGTTGCCGGTGTTGTCGGTGTGCGGACCATCCTTGTTTTTCTTTCACCCGGTGCTCAGAATGCGTGTTGACTTGCCGCAGCGACATTCCCTCATGGCCGATTGTACGTGGCACTCTCACGCGTGAGAGGAACTGACCATATTCGCGTGTTGGCTGACAATTGTTCCGGGCAAGGCTACTGCCACGCGTAATGCAGTTTATCGAGAAGTACTCTCTCATTTTGAGCCACTTTTTTGTTTCATCAGATGCTAAGACTGCTTGAGTTATGAGTGGTGAAAGATGTCTAGGAAAATACGACCGTTCGCTTTCTAAGCGAAGAGTTGCCTCCAGCCTTGGGCGCTCCAAACTTTCTGAAATTGAAGATTTCAAACATTCTTCATGAAGTCTCTGATTTTACTGATTTAATTGCTTGGATCATGGGCTGGGTGAAAAAGCCAATGAACTGGATTACATGCGTCTGTTGGTTTCGTTCACGTGTTCATATGATTCGTGCGTACATTCATTACTTTCATTCCCTTACAATCATACACTGTTCTCTTCACCTTTAATAATATGACGCGTGAGCACAGCGAAGAAGGAATATGAAGAGAACAACCTTAACCACGAAGTAATACTATGAATGATTGGTACCTTTCCCACGTTCAGGAGCTTCGTAAATACAATAAAAACGTTCACGTGTTCACTTCGTATTTTTATTATTAATCTCTTCACTCAGGATACTAAATCTCAGGTGGATTCCGGGAAGACAGAATGAGTCCGTGGATGGGCGTGTTAACTTAGGATAGAAGCATGAATGGGGATGTGGTACATTCTCTCCTTTTAATTGTATTCGTGCGTTGTTCATACGGCCTTACAATACAATTAAAATGAGTGGAACGCCCAAATAGTGGATCACAGGGTCGCGAGGTTCGCTTCTTCACGTAAAAACCCCCTTTTATAATTATATTCGCGCGTCCGTAAACTCCCTTGCAATATAATTACTAGGGTCTTTTTACTCTTTTATTTCGTTACTTCTACTCTCAGTCCAGCGATCACGAGTGGCCCTCAGACAAACAGGTTGTTCAACAGGCAACACTACACTCAATTGCAAATTCTCTCCCACGCCTTCGTCAGCAACAGCGTCGTTCCAGATCTCATCTGTCCATTGCTCATCCTAACTGCTGCCCCAATCCTCATCCCAAATAAACGCACCCCAGCCCTCATCGATCTGGATGCTCAGGCACTGGCGGCAAAGCTTCCTTAGCCCGAAGGCTCGTAGGAAACAAGAGCGTGGCGAACAGGAAAGGCATAGTGTTTGGTACTTTGCAGGAGCAAAGGCAAGGAAGGGTTGTCACGTGACAATTCAGGGCGGTGAGGGTGGGACTCAAAATTTTCTTATCCAGGCTTTCATGAGCCTCAAAGCACAAACCAATTGTTCAAGGAAGTGGTAAACAAAGTCAAGGAGGCAAAACAATGAAACTCGCATCAATAGCACAAAAATCTTCACTCTCTGGAGCTCACACTTGAGCACAAATTTGCTTAGTGTCCGACTATATAAGGTCTCTAGGGCGTGTTTGTGGCCCTCAGAAGCATGAAGGCACCCACCCACCTCCCCTCAAACGCCCCCCGACAAACCCCGGGGGCAGGGCCCAAAAGCTTTTTTGGTTTGGTTTGAGCCAAGGGGGTTGGGTTGAAGGACGGTGGGTCAAGTAGCATGTCGATATATGAACACAACTAGCGAAACGTCCCGACAATACACACAAGTCCCAACGTACGCGACTCTTTTTCCCATGGAGTGTGTGGGTCCAGCGAACACCTCAGAATCTCAACTTGATGGCCTGGCACAGCTGAGCAAAATGCCCCAACTTTAGACGAAGCTGTGCCATCTCACCACAGACACTTTGAATGAAGTTTCGTTTCTTGTTAAAAATGCTTGTCGTTAGCAGCAGGCACCTTCACTGTTCCCCACAGCGACACGAAGTCGTCTCGCGCTGCGCCAAGCCTCTGGAAAATTTCTATGTCCAAGTCAGTCAAAGAAACCGCCACTCTATTTCCTCCCTAGGCATCCATTGCAAGCGTAGAACTTTGCCATGGTTCCGTAGCGCACTGGCCATCTGCATATGAATGGCCTGGAGTGGCCACTTCGTGCAGCCCACGGTCAGGTGGAGATCATCTACGCAAACCACTTTCCAGCGCCGACCCATGACACGAAGGACCCACCGGCCTAGCAGGGCGAAAAGGCGGCCCTACCAGAAGGAGGCGGATGATCTGCCAAAGTTGCCTACAGTGTTTAGCCCACTCTCCCGGCTCCCGTTTCGGGCCCGGCATCCCAGTTTTGGCCAATCCCGGCGCCGGATCTTGACCCGTCTGTGGGCCTGGCTGATGTCAGCAAAGATCGAAAAGGGGGCCTCTCGCGTATCCAATGGGGCTTCCACGACAACCTGTAATTTGTCATTATTGGCTCGAAATCACTCTGTTGGTGCAAAGCACCCCCAGGCTGTGCCCTCCGATCATGCCGAGCTGGATCCGATGTCATGCCCCACAAGAATCGATGCAGTCACGGAAAAACCATGGCAATGCGAATCTTTTCAGCTTCCTTCAAACGAGCAATGCAAGCTACAGCTTACGGTTCATGAGCCCCTCTATGGAAGTGGCCTAAGTGTTGCTGCCCTCATGTACTTCGTACCTCTCTTGGGCCTTTGCCACACATACACATTCCAAAGCTCCTCATCAACACTCCTCCTTGAGTGGGTCCTTCGGACCTTCACTCACCAAGAAGAGCGAACAAAAGACTATACAGTTGACGTGTCGTTGTGCATCAGGATTGCTCCACAATCCTGATTTCATGCAACTCATTCGATTGTTGTGTTCCTTCTCGACTGATACTGCGACTGGTGCTGATGTCAAGGAGCATGTGAAGGTGGCACAAGTGGATGAGTTGTTTTTCATTACTTGTCTGGTCGTGGTAGCAGCGATTGGTCTTTGGGAAGCGGTTAAGTGGTTTTCTGCTTGGATTTGGAGGAAGTTGAAGGGGAGTTCGAAGGAACGTAGGCTGAATCGTCTTCGTGAAGTGGCAAGACTTGCTGCCGAAGATGAGCTGGATAGAGTTGTGGAGGCCCGCGCTGCTCAAGCAACCGAAGCAGCGTATCGAGCAGAGCTGAGAGGTCAAGGCTCGAGCTCTTCTTCGCAGGTTCAAGCTCCGACGATTCCAGTGCCTGCACCTCCTGTGCATCTTCCTGTGCCTCCCCCTCCAGCTCCTTTTCAAGGAAATCAAGATGTGTATGAGCCATACAGCGCTACTGGTTTTTACAAGACTGTTTCTGCAAGATCCAAGCTGCACACAAATCCTCAATGCCATGGTTTGCGACATGCTGGAGATGGGAATCTATACACTGCCGAATATTGTTCATACTGTCAAAAGCAGACGCCGCTGTATGTTCGAAGAAGGGCAAGGGCAATGCAGTCCCATCGTTCCGGTCCTTGGACACTTTCACCTGAAACCGCCTTCACCATACATTCAGGGCCCATCACGCTGAAGCTCACTCTGCGACCGGAATCCGGCTTGCAAACCTGGCCCCGGAAATCATGCTTTTAAGCAACCTAAACCAGCTCAAGAGGTGAGTTAACTGTTCGGCAGTGCGGACACTTGGCACGTCATCCATAGCGTTTTTCTTCTCTAAAGTGCTAAGTTTCTATGAGACCATGTGGCACCCGCGTTCTTCTGCACGGGAGCACACTGGGTTTCGGTGGGACCCGCATTCTTCTGCGTGGGAATGCACTGAAAATCGGCGGGGCCCGCGTTCTTCTGCGTGGGACGGTACTGGGTCTCGGTGGGACCCGCGTTCTTCTGCGTGGGACCGTACCGGGTCTCGGTAAAACCCGTGTTCTTCTGCGTGGGACCGCGCCGGCTTTCGGCGGGACCCGCGTTCTTCTGCGTGGGACCGAATTGGGTTTCGGGGAGGCCCGCGTTCTTCTGCCTGGGACCGTGCCTGGTTTCGGTGGGACGCGCGTTCTTCTGCGTGGGACCGTGCTGGGTTTCGGTGGGACCCGCTAAATCGCTCCGTTCTTCTGCGTGGGACCGTACACCCCGTTTGGGTTTTACAAGGCTAATTAAGGGAAGGGGAAGGCTCCACTGGACCACTTTTTCGTGTAGTTGCAGCATTGTAGTCCAAGCGCCTGCCCAGCCGGTGCGTTGGTGTGTGGTCTGTAGAGCCCGGAGTGGGCTTGCTATATGGGTGGGCTTGCTTTTGGTACCGCCAAACGGTCAACCGTCCGGCTTCAACACGATGGGCCCAAATAGCATCGCAAGAATGCCATCAGGCAAGTAGCATGATCGAATTGTCTGCAAGACGGGCTTCTGCAATGCCCGGCAAACGTCGCAGCAAGGTCCGCGCAAACATCTTGGATGCTACAGCACCATTAATGCTTTGCAGCAATGTGCCCGATTGGCCTGCAAAATGCGCGGTTTCCGGCTTCGTTTTTTGGGCTATTTTCTGGGCAGCTTTCTTCATGCCAGCAGCAGCCAGAGCACAGAATTTGCCGCCCGCGCCGTGGGCGCAGTTTCGGAACCGCCGAATTTTCGTTTTTGGGGTCGTGCTTCTGGCTCCAAGTTGTTGG